CAACACTGTCAACTATGAAGGGACGATTGTTGACAGTTGTGAGCTGAATAGGCCTATTGAAGCGTTTTCCATTGGCCGGTACCTTCTGGATCTGCTCCGAGAGAGCAGACCAATTGGTTTCCAGGCTCCGCATCGCAGGGTCTGGTATATAAGGAGGGTTGTCTATCCCCATTCTAGTGCCGACTTGACTCTCAATGTACCGGAACCTTGCCGCTTCCGAGACCATCTGAATGATAACAATAAACGCTGCCGCTTGGTCGGAGTGGGATGCCGCATAGTGCAACTTACTGATGGCGTTATCGAGTTCATTGCGTCCCAGAGGGATTTGCTCAAGCATAGGTATATCCTCATGTATACGTGACCCTGGGTTACGGGCACCTGATGCACTCGGTTGCGCTGTACGTCGTGCATATGCTCCAAGCGCGGGGTAGTCTCCGGTGAAGGGCAGCATAGTCCGCGTGGACTGCGCGGCGCCGGGGGCAGTGGGGAATAATATGTGCGTTGGAGCCGGATTTTCAGCGTTATTTGCAAGTATGTAGGATTTATTACCAGAACGATATCCCACCACATAAACGTTTACCACATCGATCGCGACCCTGATGGTGTCGCCGTTATAGTTGGTGAGATCAACATAAAGAAAGCGCTGCGAGTCTGGCACGTCTTCTCTTCGGGGCAGCACCGGTATACCATGTGATGTTGGTCGTCCGGCTGTGAGTCGGGCTCGTAGTGCTTCGATGAATGCTGTGTATGTCTTAGGGGTTGCATTCAAAAGAGAGAGGGCAAGTGCCATATTAAAGTAAGAACAAGGAAAATTGTATCAAAAACTATCCTCGTTCTATTTGAGGGATTTGTGTTATTTGATGAGATGCGTTGATATATATATATATATATGTATATGTATGTATATATATATATGTATGTATATGTGTGTGTGTGTGTGTGTGTGTGTGTGTGTGTGAATCAGGTTTGTAGCTCAGCACGCAAAATACCCCAATTACAAAATATCTTTCGAACACGCAACCTTGGCTGACAGCACTATTTTGACAGAGGGTTTTTTAATTAAAAAAATCTATTCCAATCCTCTTTTTTTTTTTTTTTTTTTTTTTTTCTCCTAAAAAAGACTTTATTAAGTTCTAATTGAAATGTTTAGATCGTCAACTAAGACGTTGAAATAGGTCTCGAAACTAATACAATCCCATCTAAAAGAACTTCTAATTTTTTGAATAACCACTGCGCAGAATGTTGCTTTCTTGACGAACAAATTCGAACGAAACAGACCCCACATCATTTGTAATAGCCCAAATGTCATGCACTATGCTTTCCACCTCCGCATCAACACCGAACTCCTTCCTTATGATCCTAATAAATTCACGAGCATCAGACTCTATGATAATGATTGACAAACCATGTCTGCTGCACTCCTTCAATCCTTTACTTCTAGAATAAAATCATGTATAAGATCAAAAACTAACTCTAGTCTTTGGCTTTTAATTGTAATTTTTGAATATTAATTAGGCTTAGAATAATTATTGAGTTTTTTTATGTAAGTTATATATTGATTCTCATAGACAATAAAAATGTTATTTATCACTGATAAGTGTTTATAAGTTCCCATAATAAAACAAGTCATATACTTTTACCTATTCTTTCTTGTGCATAAATTTCTCTGTATCTGTATTTGCATATTATGTACTTATGATTTTTAGATATTGAGTTAAATACCAATACATTCGTAAAAGTTATATACTGATACATTCGTACTGAAACTTATATACCGATACATTCATACTGAAGTTTATGTAACATTACGTTCATAAGGAAGCTTATGGACTGATACTTTTTAACCTATGAGCTTTTTATAAATTTTTTTTTATTTGTTGTTAAGTTTTTATGTATAAAAATTTAATGAATTTGTTTTTATCCATTAATATGATTGGAGCACAAAAAAGTAGGTTACTTTTGTATGAATATATAATTTCTGATGGTAAGTTTATAAATATTGAATGTGCTATAAATATCTAAATATAATAAGTTTTGAACAAAGGACTTGAATTTGATTTAGAAAATCTTATTATTTTACATTACATTAAAAAAGACAAAAATATTTGAATTCGACACGTCTCGTTAGTTTTATCCAAATGAGACCTAGCTGAATTGGTCTCCCTTTGGGCTTGGGATAAGTTGAACTTTTTCCTTCTTCAACTCCGAAATCTTTTAATTTTTATGGCAGACGAAATGATTATCCACTACACATGTGCATGTAAACACGTATACATCTTCAGAACCGTTGGATTCTCTTTTAAAGCAAGACATGCTTAACAAATTTCAAAAAGTAGCAGCAGACACGGATGTATACCGTTTCTTAACACGTTCCGAGGGGAGAGATTAATTCTTGGTGGGTTAGGTCTATATCCTTTCTTTATCGTTACTATCTCTATCGGCTTCAAACTACTAGGCCCTTTCTTGACTTGGCCTGCGGTGCATTGTACCTAATACCATCTTAAAAGAATATCATCTTCTCTAATTCTATCAATGCATTTGGTCTGCATTTATAAGGAATATCTTCTAAATACACTGTTCGGAAAAGCGGTTTAGGCACTAAGCGGAGGGTGGGTGGGCATTCCTAATAGGCCTTCGGCATTTAAAAAAAGAAAACTAACGAAAAATTCAAAATTTTTTTTAATGAAAAATGACAAATAAATGTGTAGTGAATAGTACCAAGAAAAGGTAAAAATGTGGTTTTTCGTTAAAAGTGAACAGTATCGAGAGTGTTTCGTTAAAATTCCCTATCGATGAAGTCTCTAGGAAGCGATCAGGCATATTTAATTTTTTTTAGGTTAAAGGGTTTAATGATGTAAAATAACTTTGGAGTTTTGTTTCTTGCAAAATAACTCACAATACATGTTCATTATTGATTCAATTGTTTAGATTTGTAAAGTACCAGTAACAATTTCTTATGTATATATTTGAAGTATAAACTTTCTAAGTAGTCACCTATTTATATATTTTTATTGTTATATAATAAGTTTAGGGGTGTGTTACTTCATACGCACCATCTTAATTTGCGATCGTCGAATCAACTGAATCAAAGAAGATCAAATAATCTCTATTAATGAATGAAACTCTCTTTATCAACCAAAAGAGGGTGAAAGGACAACTTAATCTTCTATCACACAAAAAAAATGATGGGCAATAATAATTCCACACGTCCAAATTTTACTGTTTTTTATTGAAGCCTCACTTACAGGTGATGTTAAAATATCTCTAATATTTATAATTAAAAAAAAAAAAAAAACCTCCCACTCCCTCCACGTTCTCTCTCTCTCTCCCTTCTCATTTTCTAAAAAAATGTGTTCATATACATAAAGTGTGTAGGCAAATGCTAGTATAAATTAACAAGAGGTGTGTGAGAAGTAAAAAGGGGTGTGTGGATATCACACCCCTCAAACCTTGCCTAAGCTACTACCCGCCACCTGACAAGTACCCAACTTTTTTTTTTTTTTTTTTTTTTTAAATGAAAACAATGTTACTTTAATTTACATTGGAGAGAGTTTCCTAGAACAAAATGGATTGGACAGAAATGTGGGACCATGATTTTCTAAGATTGGAGTAAGACAAATCGGAATACGCCTACCTCAGAAATCCATCACGGACTTAACAACTTGCATAATAATTATTTAGATTTTTGGAGTGTCAATAACAATTTCCTATAAATATTTGAAGTATAAACTGTATAAGTATTAACCTATTTCTATTTTTGTCTAAGTATTTGCCTAATTTTTACATGACATGTATGTTAGAACACTTTGTACTTGAACCCTTGTATAGGTATGCAATTTAAGAAAGCACAACAATTGAAATGGGTAGTCCATATTAATATCAAACCTTGATCGTTGTTTAGTATACTCAATACCATTTTGAGCACCTATGCTTTTGTCTTAATGCCAAACACTTAATGATTTGAGATTTGTCATGCTCCTTGACAGGTCTGCAATTCTCATTGGATTCTGTGATGCACATCGGGCATGAAGTGAAGATGATAGCAGAAGCACCTCTGGTTATGCATTTAGCTTTGGCAGTGAAGCATTTTCTTGGGCATATGTGAAACAAAACACAGTTGCACTATCAACTGCTGAAGCTGAGTATGTCTCAGCATCTGAGGCAACAACACAGTCTATTTGGTTGAGGTTTGTCCTTGATGGTTTTGGGGAGATGCAATATGAGGTAACACCCTTGTTCTGTGATAATATCTCAGCTATATCTATGGCTAAGAATCCAGTTTTTCATCAGAGAACTAGACATATAAACAGAAGGTATCACTTCATAAGGGAAGCTCTGCAAGAGGGTGTGATTGATTTGCAATTCTGCAGAAGTGAAGAACAACTTGCAGACATATTTACAAAGGCTTTGCCAAAGGACAGATTTAATCAATTGAGATTAAGGCTTGGAGTTAAGGCAGTAAGCAGCTTAGGAGAGGCTGTTCAGAATTAAGCTGCACACTAAGCTTAAATCAACCTGTAGATGACAATCCTGTAGATTGGAAGTGAAGAGAATGAAGAAATCGAAGAGATGAAAAACTTGCCTTTTTTAGAAATAGCCGTTAGCTTTAAACTTGTAACGGCTAGTTTTAATTCTTGTTTTAGAAACCTACACAGCTGTTATTCTTATCTGTTTGGGATGTACTGTGTTATTCGATCCTCCGCCAAGTGGAAGGATTGTAGCCTCTGATGGCTTGAATGGCTGGAGATGAGTCCTTACTCCCTAAAAAATAGGATCTGAGCATTTGACTGATTAGAAGAATATAGGCTTGTATTCTCTGATTTTTCATATAGAAAAAAAATACTGAACATTCTCAATTCTCTGTGTTCTTCCTTCTCTGCATAGATTTTTAGTCATAAAGTTTCAGTCTTTGTTTGTTAATCAACCTAAAACATAAAGTCTGATAACATTTCAACACTTGTGTGCATCCTTTTGGTGATAACATTTCAACACTTGTGTGCATCCTTTTGGTCTTCATGGAGTGCCACTGTGCCAGAGAAGCGGCTATTGAACATGAAAGGCTATTAAAGGTCTAATTTTCCCAACCTTAGCTAAATAGTTGTAGGTTTACTCGCAGAGTGTTGTTCAGTTCGTTGTAAGTATTGACTTCAAAATTATCTTGTCTTGTAGGATGCCGCTGATGAAATCCCACGTGCCAAAACTCCTTTAGGTGCTAGTGTAGTAGACATCAGCACAACGTCAGCAGTCTTGTTGGTTGTTATTGCTTCATGCTCCTTGGTTATACTGTACAAGCTTATGTCATCCTGGTTCGTCGTGCTTTTGGTGGTTCTTTTCTGCATAGGTGGCGTAGAGGTATGAATCTTCCCATTTCTAATTAGCGACACAATATACCTCTGCATGCTCACTTATATACTTACACAAAGCATTTATCTCTTAAGTTCCCTGCACAGTAAACATTTACGTTCTGAAGTTGTGCAGGCTGTAGTTTTGTAATGTTAACGTATTTGACATTATATATTTTGTGCTTATTGCTTTATCGAATGATTATATCTAACTTCATCAATCTTTATATCCAGGGATTGCAAACTTGCTTGGTTGCATTGTTGTTGAGGTACAGTTTGTTTCATCTCTTATTGAAACAATCTCTGACACTTTATTATGATTCTCCTTTTGGTCACCTGACTATTGACAGTGCGCTTGCAGTCTATCAGTTTTTGTCTATTTATTTTTCAGTGTCTGTGTGTGGCTGTATGCATGTGGGCAAATAAAAATTTTAACGGGATACTTCTTTATGTCCCTTTTATCTGGGGATGGTTTATCATAAGATTATTGGGAAGTTGTTTTCAATGTGGGAATTGTTATTCTTCTGATATTCTGATTGTCTGAATATTTTCTAGAACATTATTCAAGACACAATCTCGAGTTCTAGTTAATTTGACTAAATCATTTCAGTAAAGACAAGACAGACCAGAAAACTGGTGGCGTTGTACATTGAATGAGTCACCCAGTGTTAACTTGCTTTAAGGTCTTAAACTAATTATACATTTTCACAGGTGGTTCAAACGTACTGGAGAATTGTACATTAAAGTACCTATCTTGGGAGCAGTCTCATACCTAACTTTGGCTGTTTGTCCGTTCTGCATAACATTTGCTGTTCTTTGGGGAGTTTATCGCAACCTTTCCTTTGCCTGGATTGGTCAAGATATACTTGCAAGATTATTTGTCTTATCAAAAGAATTTTTACCAATGGCATCATAGATTTTGCCCCTTCTTTCTTGAACTTAGAGCTATTGCAGTATAAATTTTGTCTCAACTAATGGTGGCTTCAATTTTAATGAATCTTTGATCAGGGAATTGCGTTGATAATCACAGTTCTTCAAATTGTTCGAACACCTAATCTGAAGGTAATACTTCGAACTTGTATGTTTTACTGGTATTCCTCTTTTTGGCCCGAAATTATTTTGTCGTTGGTAAAAACGTAGTAGGCAATTCGTTTATCCAAACACTCTATATCACTGCTCATTTGTGAAACTAATTGACTGTAATTATGGGGTTGTAGCATTTAAAGTACAGTGTGTCCACGTGTGCAGGTGAATATCTCTGCGTTTGAAAACTTCTACTGGAATTTGATTGACTTCAAGTATTTACACGTATTCTTCTTTTTGATTTGCTATGGTGTCTCTACTCTACTGAATCAGAAATTTCAGATGTGCGTATTTCTTCCTTAACATTGTCTAGTCATTCCAAAAGTTGATAAAAAAAACACTTGTCTTTTGACATTGGATGGTAGCTGTTCATCTCAAAAGCTTTAATGAGAAGATACCGGATAGTATAAACTATGTATATATGTAATATTTATATATGCGTAAGCGTTCCCAGAAACTGATGAGAGGTGGTTTTGTTAATTAGGTGGGTACGGTCCTCCTCAGTTGCGCCTTCCTGTATGACATCTGTTGGGTGTCTGTTTCTAAGAAGTTGTTCCATGAAAGCGTGATGATTGTGGTAAGTGATCCATACATGTTTCTCTACTTGCTTCATTTAAGGCCCCTATGATATAAACATTTCATCTTTGAAGGATTTGAAATGCCTGAGAGTCATTTTAACGGCTTGGTCACCCTTTTACAGGTAGCTCGTGGCGACAAAAGTGGAGAGGATGGTATTCCAATGCTACTAAAGATCCCACGCATGTTCGACCTATGGGGTGGTTTCAGCATCATAGGATTTGGTGACATCCTATTACCAGGCCTGCTTGTAGCATTCTCGCTCAGGTATTACGTCCTATGGGGTGGTTTCAGCATCATAGGAATTGGTGACATCCTATTACGTCCTATCCCCAATTTGCAAAAAGACTTGTTATCAGCATTTCTCCATGTGTCAAATCTTGGCGCTGTTTATATGCAGTGGAATAATAAATTTACGACTATTAATGGTTTTTCCAGGTATGATTGGTTGGCAAATAAGACTCTCCGTGCTGGATACTTCATTTGGGCAATGATTGCTTATGGATTAGGTAAAGATATAATAAAAATAGCATTTTTCGACAGCTACTTTTAAGGTTTCAGATGTGTTTCCCGGAAGAAAAACATGATGTTTCACATTCTTTGGCAGGTCTTCTCATCACGTATGTGGCATTAAACTTGATGGATGGGCATGGCCAACCAGCCCTTCTTTATATTGTTCCATTTACACTTGGTAAATCCCTTTCCTTCTCGTTCACCATAAACCTAGTCCAATGTCACTCTGCCATTTATAGTTTATTAACACATGAATAAAGCCCAAGAGGCATCACACGTGCGATAAGTTTTGTGTTATCAAGTGATCAAGAACCAGTCCGGATACTTTATTTTCGTATAATATCGGGATGCTAGACGGTGCGGTTTTAAGTTAAACCGATCAAAATTTACACTCCAATGCAGTCACTTTGCTGACATTAGGTAGGAAAAGAGGTGACTTACAGATTCTGTGGTCTAGAGGAGAACCGGAATGGCCCTGCCCTCATATCGAGCTTGAAGGCAGTCACGAAGTGAACGAATAAAAGTAAATAGAAACCATTTTCTTGTATGGTATTTTAGTGTTGGCATTGTATAATTACTAGAAATCTGGTAAAGATCCGACAAGACTAATGATCCTTCTGCTCTCACACAAATCCGCCCATACACAGGTACTGATACTATTGTTGTGGGCAACGGCAATCACCTGCCTATCTCTCATGTCGGTAAATCCTCCATCTCTGGTTTACATGGACCTATGTTGCTAAAAGATGTGTTATATGTCCCTGCCATTAAGAAGAACTTATTATCTCTTCGTCGATTTTGTTATGACAATCACTGTTTTTTTGAGATGGATGATCATTCTTTTCGTGTGAAGGACAAGAAAACGGGCCAACTCCTTCTGATTGGGCATAACTATGGCGAACTTTACTATATTAGACCTGCTCCTCATGTTACTCCCAAGCTTGTGTTTTATGGCGAACGGACGACTAGCGATGTGTGGCATGCTCGCTTGGGTCACCCCTCCACTACTATCTTTCAAGTTTTGGCAAATAAATACCATATCCCCATTAGTGGTGCAAAAATGTCATATTTGTCCCATAGGCAAGGCATGTCGCCTTCCATTTTCCTCTCGGACGTCCATGACTCATTATCCTTTAGACATCTTACACCTTGATGTATGGGGCCCCGCTCCTATGATGTCTAATTTTGGCTATAAGTACTATTTATCTATGGTGGATGATTATTCAAGATTTGTGTGGTTGTTGCCTCTTGTTCGTAAGTCCGATGTCATGCCTACCTTTGTCACTTTCAAACGCATGATTGAAAATCGTTTGAATCGCACTATTAAAGTATTACAAATAGATGGTGGTGGTGAATTCACTAGCCTTGCATTTCGGCATTTTCTTCGAGATCATGGCATCACACACCAACTCTCTTGCCCACATACGCCACAACAAAATGGTATAGTTGAGTGCAAACATCGCCATGTTACCGAAATGGGTCTATGTCTCCTTGCTCAATCTCATCTCCCGCAAAAATTTTGGGTGGGGGCCTTCACAACTGCTGCATTTCTTATCAACCGGTTGCCTCTTCATAATCTTGGGAATGTTTCTCCTTATGAAAAACTCTTTGCCAAAGTTCCCGATTACCGATTTCTTAAGACATTTGGATGCACATGCTTTCCTCACTTGGTTCCTTACAACAAACATAAGTTGATGCCTAAGTCCATCCCATGTGTCTTCATTGGTTACGACAACAACTACAAAGGCTACCGTTGTCTCGATGTTGCTTCTGGTAAGGTGTATATTTCTCGCAATGTACAATTTGATGAACTCACCTTTCCGTATAAAGACCGCAGGACAGATTCTCCTCATTCCGAGCAGTCTCATCAACCATTATTTTTGGAGCCACTAATGCATGCAGCAGCACCTATGTCTCCCAGCAACATTCCAACACCTGCATCTGATCCTCCTACGCCCCACTCTTCATCCACGGCTATTGTAGCGCATCTACCCACTTCACCTGTAGCACATTTTCCGTCATCTGCCACCACCCTTGCTTCCTCACCATAACCTGTCACTTCCCCAGACTCTACTCCTCCACGCAAATTTGGGAGCATCAATGCCCTCACTTACGACTCGCCCCGACATCCACTTCCTCACGGTTTAACTGCAGCCCTTGAAGATCTTATGTCCATTGAGCCCACTAGCTATACTCAAGCATCTAAATTCACCCATTGGCAGCAAACGATGAAAGAGGAACATGATGCACTTCTTCAGAATCACATTTGATCTCTTGTTCCTGTTACTTCTCATATGAATATTGTGGGATGCAAATGGGTATTTTGTGTTAAACGAAAGGTCGACGGCTCCATTGACCGCCATAAGGCTCGTCTTGTCGCCAAGGGGTTCAATCAACAAGTTGGGGTTGACTACGACAAGACCTTTAGTCCGGTTGTTAAACCAGGTACTATTCATACCATTATTGCCTTAGCAGTCTCACAAAATTGGTCATTGCAGCAACTTGACGTTCTGAATGCTTTCCTGAATGGTATTCTTCACGAGGAAGTTTATATGAAACAACCACTTGGCTTTGTTGATCCCAACCACTCCCAGTATGTTTGTTGCCTTCACAAAGCTCTTTATGGCCTCAAACAAGCACCTCGCGTTTGGTTCCAGCATTTAGCCTCCTTATTGTGTAATCAAGGCTTTTCCCATAGCAAATCGGATGCATCCCTGTTTATTTACCATTCCTCTACATATTCACTCTATGTTCTGGTATACGTTGATGATCTCATTGTCACAGGTTCAAACAATGATGCTATTCACAGGTTCCTTGATCAACTATGTAACACCTTTGCTAGTCGTAAGCTAGGTGACCTCCATTTTTTTCTTGGAATGGAAGTTACTCACCGAGGCAGCCAACTATCTATCGCTCAAAGCCGTTATGCATCTGATTTACTACAGAAATTTAAGATGGACCAGTGCAAGCCCAGCCCTACCCCATTCCTCTCCTCCTTGCGTCTGTCGGCTTATGATGGTGATCTCGGATCCTGATGTTTATCGGAGCATGGTTGGCGGACTTCAGTATCTGACTCTCACCCGTCCCGACATTTCCTTTGCAGTTAATCAAGTTTGTCAGTACATGCACAACCCTAAATCAACTCATCTTCAGGCCGTCAAACGTATCTACCGCTACATCAAAGGAACTGTTGAACATGGTCTTTTATTTCGTTCATCTCCAGACTTCACTATTCAAGGATTTTCTGATGCTGACTGGGCCGGTTCCATTGATGATTGTCGCTCAACAAGTGGTGCTTGCATTTTTCTTGGTCCTAACCTTCTTACATGGACCGCCAAAAAGCAATCCATCGTGTCTCGTTCTAGTTCCGAAGCAGAATATTGTTCTCTTGCCACCACATTTGTTGAAATTCGTTGGTTTTGTTATCTCTTCCGTGAACTAGGCATTCCGCTTCGTACTCCACCTTGCATTTTCGTCGACAATGTCTCTGCCCTTCACATGGCAGCCAATCCTGTTTTTCATGCGCGTACTCGTCACTTAGAGATTGACTACCACTTTGTTCGCGAGCTTCTTGCCCACGGTGTCCTTCAAACCCGACACATCTCCTTTCATCATCAAATCGCTGATATCTTCACTAAAGGACTTTCCCGTGATCGATTCTCTTTTCTTGGTTCCAAGCTCAATCTACACTTTGTTCCGTTTCGCTTGAGGGGGGATGACGAGAGTATTGAATCCACCACATCTGCTGTCAAAACGTTATCCCACCATTCTCTCCATATTGTTTATGTAAATAATCAAGAGTTATTAGTTACCTTTTATGTTGCACAAAATCAACTATAGGCTTGTATATATCTTGTATCAATATGTTAAGCAGATCAAGGAATTCATTAGTAATACAAACTGCTTCTCCCTACTCTTCTCTGTCTGCCACTATCTATTTCTCTATTTCTCTATAAGCTTCGCTTAATTTGGAAATCTTGTATGTAAGTTTATTGCTCTTTAAATTGAACGAGGACGCTCTCTTAATTCTAATCGCGTTCATTTGGCATCGTCGGTTGTCAACTTGATGAATGGTAAAGCAAGATGGATAGCAATTTTGCAGAGTTTTATTGACATAAGAAGGAACATATAGAAACTTCGAAATCATATGTACTTCAACCAAGCAACAACAGAAGTGCAAAAGACATATAAAGGGTACAAACGACGCTAAGTATTAGAGTTCATCATGAACGTGACGATGTCCAGCGGTCTCACAGCACTGCCGGTCAAGGGTTGGCACCTGTCTCGAGTAGAGGAGAATCGCGATGCCCCGCCGCTGAACTATGTCTGCTTCAACACTGTCAACTACGTGGGGAGAATTGCGGATATTTGTTAGCTGAATAGGCCTATTGAAGCGGCTTCCATTGGCGGGTACATTCTGGATCTGCTCCGAGAGAGCAGACCAATTGTTTTCCAGGCTCCGCATTGCAGGGTCTGGTATATAAGGACAGTAGTTTTCCTCCATTCTAGTGCGGACTTGATTCTCAATGTACCGGAACCTTGCCGCTTCCGAGACCATCTGAATGATCACAATAAACGCTGCGGCTTGGTCTGAGCTGGCTTGGTCGGAGCGGGATGCCGCATAGTGCAGCATAGTGATGGCGTTATCGAGTTCATTGCGTCCCAGAGGGATTAGCTCAAGCGTAGGTATACGCTCATGTGAATGTGACCCTGGGTAACGAGCAGCACTCGGTTGTGCTATTCGTCGTGCGTATCCTCCAAGCTCGCCGTAGTCTCCGGTGAAGGGCAGCTGAATCGGCGTGGACTGGGTGGCGCTGGGGGCGGTGGGGAATAAAATCTGCGTTCGAGCTCGATTTTCAGCGTTATCTTTAAGTATGTAGGATTTATTCCCAGAACAATATCCCGCCACATAAACGTTTACTACATCGATTGCGACGCTGATGGTGTCGCCGTTATAGTTGGTGAGATCAACAAAAAGAAAGCGCTGATCGTCTGGCACGTCTTCTCTTCGGGGCAACACCGGTATACCATGTGATGTGGGTCGTCCGTCTGTGAGTCGGGCTCGTAGTGCTTCGATGAATGCGCTGTATTTCTCAGGGGTTACATACAAAAGAGAGAGGGCAAGTGCCATATTAAAGCAAGAACAAGGAAACTTGTATAAAAAACTATCCTCGTTCTATTTGAGGGATTTGTGTTATTTGATGGAGCGTTGATATATATATACATATATATATATATATATATATATATATATATATATCAGATTGCTTAAGGGGAGGGATCCCTATTTTTTCAAAAAAATGGGGACACGCTCCCCACCGTTGGATTTAATTTTAATGAAATTGTGTGATTGAGATTGTGTGGCCTGTGTTTTAAGCTCAACCACACAATTTCCTTAAAACCAACTAACGGTGGGGAGCGTGTCCCCATTTTTTTGAAAAAATGGGGATCCCTCCCCTTAAGCAACAAAGATTTTTACCCTTTTTGTAATCTTTAGATCTTATAACATCCAACGGTGTTGATTCAGAAATGAATTGGATGATGATTTGGGTTATAACTAATAAGGAAAACACTAATTTAAATTTTCTAAAAAATATATCTAACAAATATAATTGAATTTTTTTTTTAAACAAAACCCTGAAAATATTTTAACCTCCATCTTCCTCTTTGTTTGCCGATGAGTCCTGCAACTCCATACCTTGGATGTAAAGTCTTCTCCTTCTTTTTTTGCCTGAAAACGTAAACTCTTCTTGCCTTTCCAAACAATGAACCTTAGTGAATAATAAAACGTGATACTAAGCCAAGAGAGAGTTTTGCTTTAAGAAAAAATAGTTAGGGTTTTATCTTGAGAAGGTTTAACGTTTAAGCACTCTAATTTTAGTCGAACAACTTAATCACTTTGTCACCTCCATAGCAAAACTCTAATAACCCAAGATCCAAGAACGAAGATTTTGGATTTAGGCTTCTTCACTGTGGGTTTCAGTTTCACATTTTTTCTGATCATATTTAATTTTTTTTTTTTAAACATTTTTTTCAATTTTATTTTATTAGATATTTTTTATTATATATTCCACATAATCTCAATTAATTTAATGTTTAAAAGTCTCCACATAACTCTTAATCAACACTGTTGAATATTATAAGATCTAAAGGTTACAAAAGGGTGTAAAAATACTTGTCAAAATCTTTGTTCCTTGATCCTATCCCTCTCTCTCTCTCTCTCTCTATATATATATATATATATATATAGGGATAGGATCAAGGAACAAAGATTTTGACAAGTATTTTTACACCCTTTTGTAACCTATATATATATATATAAAGCCAGTGGCTCAATTTGGGGTCACGGCTTCGACAAAAAGTTTTGGACACAAATGCCCTTCAAAACAAAAAAATTCAAGGGCATCTGAAAATAATGCATCAAAGGTTTTTAATAATTATTTTTTTGTGTTTTTTTTATTAGTACCTCACAATAAGCTAGCAATAATGCGATTCAATTTCTCTATTTTAAAACATGTTCAAAACATCTTAAGAGGTGTGTAATGCCGGTTATAAAAAAAGTCATTCGCACGCGGATAATAATGTGGTTAAATTAGTTGTCAAATGATTGTTTTTTTTTTTTTTTTTTTTTTTAACAAATGATATTATCTATATTAAAGGGGAGGGGGGTGGGCTTAGTCTCATAATGGGCTAGCAATAATATTATCTACACTAAGGGGGATGAGATGGGTTTAGCCTCACAATGTGTTGGCAATCATATGATTTAATCAGTTGTTTATTAAATATGATTTTCCCTATTCTTAATGTAAATTCTATAGAGACCGATTTTATTATGTGAATACAGCTACTTTAATTGGTTTAAGAGGGGTTTCTTTTAGCATGTCTAAGATTATTCATTTACTTCAAATATTTGACTTTTCTTTTGTCAATTTACACATATAAATACATTTAACACGTGTAAATTACAAGTAGCATGCTGTGATTCAAAAAATACCTTATGCACGCACGTGAGCGTCCATGAAGGTTAGTACATATATACATATGGCTAGTATACGTATACATATGTGCGTGTGTGAATCAGGTTAGTAGCTCAGCATATGATCCTAGGTTCGAATCCGGTTCTAAACTTTTTAAAAGGATGTCTCAACAGTAGCTCAGCATATGATCCTAGGTTCGAATCCGGTTCTAAACTTTTTAAAAGGATGTCTCAACACAAATCAGGTTAGTAGCTCAGCATATGATCCTAGGTTCGAATCCGGTTCTAAACCTTTTAAAAGGATGTCTCAACACAAAATATCTTTATTTTGATACCGCCAATACAAAATTATCTTTCTAACTCGTAACCTTTGGCTGACAGCACTATTTTCACATCGGATTTTTTAATTAAAAAAATTCTATTCCAATCCGATTTTTTTTTTCCGGTTCTAAACTTTTTAAAGGGATGTGTCAACACAAAATATCTTTATTTTGATACCGCCAAAACAAAATATCTTTCTAACACGTAACCTTTGGCAAACAAAATATCTTTCTAACACGTAACCTTTGGCTGACAGTACTATTTTGACATCGGGTTTTTTAATTAAAAAATCCTATTCCAATCCAGTTTTTTTTTTTTTTTTTTTTTTTTTTCCTTCGAAAATAAATTTTATTAAATTTTAATTGAAATGTTTACATCCATTTGAGATTGATACAATTTCATCTGAAAAAACTTCTATTTTTTTGAATAAATGCTGCACAGAATGTGTCGCTGCGTTGCCTTGTTGACGAACAAACTCCAACGAAACAGTCCCCACATCATTTATAATAGCCCAAATGTCATGAACTATGCTTTCCACCTCCGCATCAACACCGAATTCCTTCCTTATCATCCTAATAAATTTGCGAGCATCAGACTATGATAATGCTTGACAAGCCATGTCTGCTGCACTCCTCCAATCCTTTACTTCTAGAAAAAAAAAATCATGTGTATAAGATAAAAAACTAACTCTAGTCTTTGGCTTTTAATTTTAATTTTTGAATATTAATTAGGTTTAGAATAATTATTGAGTTTTTTTATGAGTAGGTTATATATTGAATCCCATAGACTAGAAATGTTATTTATCATTGATAGTTAATATTTGAATAATGGGATTGAACGAAGGAAAGCCCCAGGATACCAAATTAAATGAAGACTTGCTCGAAGCCTAGCATCGAGCCTAAAGCCAATTGAAGCCTTCTCAGCCAAGACACAAGCCACGTATCTATAACTGAAGTGACAAGTGATGGAGACCAACATACTATCAGCCTAAAGCACTTTCTAGTGGCATTACAAGTAAAAAACTGATGACTCACTACCTACCCAGTGCTTTCGGGTAAAAGCAAAAGCTACGGTCGCTAGGCCAAACCGCCTATAAAAGAGAAGACAGACCCTAGAGACAAGGACACTTAACCAATCAAACAAACAAACTTACAAACTCTGCTCTCAAGCCAGTTTGTACTCTTCAAAGTCTGAAATCTACCTAGATTCAGTCCTTTTAAGCAATAGTTTCCTTAGAAAAGCTATCTTTTGTCTAGTATAAAAAGCTCTGCTACCATTCCCAATGCTGGAGTATCGATCCTCTCGTGTAAACTTATTTACCATCCATCCCTTTTAGTATACAACCTCTATAAAACCAAAGAGAAGTGGCTGCAAGAAGTTCAACCTTGCCAGACAAGGTGAAATCTTGCCCGAGTCTCTTTGTTTGTTCTCTAAATTAGTAGATCTATTGCTTAATACACTTTTCAACATGTATTCAAGTCATTTCCACCCGTGTTTCTATTTTAAGAGTCCCATTTGCATCTGGATCTTGTTAACATAATAGATCTGTTTTCACTAGGAATAACTTGGAATCAATCAAATGACTTAAAGAGCTCTGGACTCCATCCATTTGAACATATAAGACCATGAACTAAAAGTCCTATTTTACAAGGCAAGAAAAAGAACTTAATATAGACTTAACCCATCTGTGACAATCATTTGATAACAAGAAGTTTGAGCAACTTAGGACTCAAGTAATCAACTTAAAACACACTTGTTCTACATCTGCTATACTGAGATAGTAGTGGCATTCCTAAGCATTTAGTTAATTTTGATTACGAGCCTCAAGGCCTACACCTAAGGCCCCACAAAGGCACATTTCAAAACTAACTTCGAGCTCTTATTGAAGCACACAAGACAAGCAAGAGCCCGACTACCAAACATACACATCCAAGGTGCCAATCCCTTAGGGAGCTGTGCTGAGGTCCAGAGACATTCTCCAGAAAAATGTTTGCCCAAACATAGTTTTGGCATGCCCAGTGGGATTTATTTAGTCTTGTATGCCAAGAAGGAAGAGGAAAGAGCGAACCTTCAGGTGGAATACAGAATACGGGCCACCCTAATATCTACCAAGATCCGAAATGACAGACCATCCTGAAGATTTCCCTTCCTTACGAGGACATGCTGTTTTGGAAAGCTCGACTTCATCTGAGAAGTCGAGAGGAAAGGTGACCAGTGAAGACTTGCAAACCACCATGGTGCAAGTGTTGAAAAGTATGGAAAAAATCTCTCTGGAGACCAGAGGAAAAGTGAGCAGACTATGTTCCCTAATAGGAAGTTTACAGAGAAGACTAGATCTAGAGTACTCTACCCCAAAAGATAGTTATGCTAGAGAGGTAATGAGAGAGGCAAGCCCTGAAAAGGAACCAGTTATTCCCCTATTTCCCTTGCTCGAGGAAGAAAAGGAAAGAGGAAAGGAGAAAGTAGGGCATGGGCCTAGCTAGCCAATATTAGAAGAAATCCTGGAGACAGATTTGCCTGACCCACTACTATTCTCACTAGATAGTAAGAGGTAGGTTGGGCAAGACAAGAAGAAGTACAGAATGAACCAACAAGTTGGAGAATCCAATGGAAAAGCTGTATCCACAACTGTGGGCAAGCCTCTTCCTTATATGTCACCACCACTGGCTAATAAGGGAGGTTGAGCCAGATGGAGACAGCCTGAACCAAAGAATGAGGCTTTCTCAAGCAATGAACGTAGCTCGAAATGGGAACCTCCTTACACCCCACATAATAATACAGCCAACCAACAACTTAGAGATGAGTTAGCTGAGTTAAGAAGAATGGTGGTCCAA